GGAGTGTTAGAGACAGGGAAAGGAGGGAAGGATGAGCTGCATGATCCTAGAGGTACTTGAGGAACAGAAAACAGGGAAGGGACAGCGCTGCACAAGTTAAGGGAAAATGGTGGAGCTGGAGCAGCTGCTGAAGCAATGAGTGTTGGGAGAACAGTGGCTGTGGAGCTGACATGAGATGCAGAAATAGCTGATGTAGTTGTAGGAGGAATAGGCAACAGAGATCCTGTTGGGGTAAGTGCTGGATTGCCAGGGAAAGCAAAACTGCTGGTTAGGGAAGTGAAAGGAGGAAGTGCATTATATACTGGAGCTAATGGAGCAGAAGAGCCATGTGGGGCAATGGAAGGTGTGTTATTTAGGGGAACACTCAATGAAGAGAGGCTAGACAGTGCTGGATTAAGGGAGCTAGGTAAGCTTCCTGGCAATGAAGTAGATGAGGTATATGCATGGCTAAGAGCTGACAAGCCTGAAGTGCTATGAGAAGGCCCGGCAGAATGTGAAGTGCCTTTAAAATTGGAAAGAGTAGGACTTGTAGGTTCAGTTTTCACCTGAGCTGGAATGGTTGTGGTAGTTGAGGTGGATACCACCTGCTGTTCGTGACTAGCAGGACTTGGACAATGGGGAAGAGCAACTGAGGAGGTACAATTGACTGGCATGATGGAAGATGCCAATGTGTTTAAAGGGGATTGTGTTGATAAAGCAGGAGGGGTTGCACTACTGCTTGCTCCAGGTTGAGATGGGAGCCCTGGGAAAATGGACAGTCCTGGAGTGGGAGGATGTTGAAGGGGAGAGGTAGTAGTTGGAGTGTAACATTTGTTACTTGATGAAGAGGCAGCTTCAGAATTCTGGCTAGCAAGACCAGATAAAGAAGCAAGCTCAGCTGTCACCGCAGACGGCAGAGCAGTTGAATTCATTATGGAGCCATCACTGGCTGACAAAAATCCCTTTAAGACTGATAGGAGTGGGTTAGGTAAGTTCAGTGGGCATGGTAGGCTAGTGGCAGGAGAACCAACAATGGCAGATGGAAGGGGACTGGCTATCCCTTGAGGTGTGGGTGTCAGTGACAAAGGCAGGCCAGCAAAAGCAGATGGTAATGAGTTGGGGTTATTAGCTGAGGAAGCGACAGATGATGCAGGAAAAGGCAGGCTGGCGAATGGTGTGGAGGCAGATACAAAACCTTCATTAGGTGCAGGGTTGGCACACGGTGCAGGCAGCCCTTGTGGAGCTGTTGCAGCAGGAAGCATGGAAGTCAGCCCAGAGAAAGTTGCAGGGAGTGGAGTGGGGGTGACACAATGAGCAGATGTAGTAGGAACACCAGGCAGCGAGTGGGATTTAATAACAGAAGGAGTTGGAGTCAATGGCTGAGGTGAATGGACAGATGAGACAGTCTGCCCTGGGAAGCCAGGGAGGACAGGGGTGGACATGCTTATCCCCAGTGTGGTTGTAGATGGAAGTGCTGATGACTGGCTTATTGCCTTAACAGATGATGGGGTTGGGGCTGGAGAAGCTGCAGGGTTAGAACCATGAGGTGTAAAGAGATGATTCGATTGTGTAGCAAAAGCTGGAAAGAAACAAAACTGGTAAGAATTCTTGGAAATCAGCAGAAATGCTTGTATTCAACATGAATGCATTCTAACACGGTTTACACAGCAACTAAGGGGCACAAGAGCAAAATAAAAGATGCTATCACAACTGGCATAAAATAAAATGGTATGCAAAATGAAATATAGCCACTGATTTGGTTGCTCTCATTTGATCAATTCAAACTGTAGGACAATCAGAATTCAATCAATACTAGTTTCACCCACATATTCCACATTTGCTGCTATCTTGCTATATGGTATTTTTTGAAACCCTTATGAATTCAGAACTTTTGCTGTTGTAGCAAGCATTAATACCAATTTATGTCGTGTATGAATACAGTAAAAATCAAAGACTGTTCAATCTGCCATTATGAGACAGTTTGACATAATTTACAACTAATTCTAAAAGACTATAAATCTAGTACTAATTTTGAAAAATAAATCTTGTCCTTTTGCATTAATTTTACTATAAGGGTAAAATTGTTTTAAAATCTTTTAATCTGCTTGATATCAGGAAAAAAAGTCTGGATATCTCAGCATCTCAGTTTTTTTGTGTTTAGAAATATTTTTTTTGTGTTTAGAAATATTCTGGAAACAATGGGCCTTTACAGACTGCCAGAAATACTGCAACTTGAGGCCACTTTAACTATTCTGGCTCAGTGCTAAGGAATCATGGGAACTGTAGTTTATTGTGGCACCAGAGCTCTCTGACAGAGAAGGCTCAATGTCCCAGAGAAAAATACAATTTGCATGATTCCCTAGCACTGGGCCAGGATAGTTAAAGTGGCCTCAAGCTGAATTATTTCTGGCAGTCTGTAAAGGCCCAATGTTTACAAAGGGCAGGCAACACCTACCATGGTCTCCTATATTTAGGAAAGTGACTACTTGGTTTCTATACACTAAGTTGTAGTTTCTCTTATGAATAGTAATATATCTACAACAACAGTGGACAACTGTCAGAGAATAGGGGGCCACATAGGCCCTCAAGAGACCTTAGAAGTTACGTCTCCCTGTAAAAAGAAAAAAAGAAAAACAAAACAAAAAACCCAATCTTTTTGCCCCCAACTGCCCTCTAGAGAAGAGCCTGCGATGCATTTTTGCTATTGCCTCACATCCTGGCTATCATTTTAAGCCCAAGAGGCCATTCTATATTTTCCCTTAATCTGGAAGTCATTTCTTGTTTTTTTAAAAGGCTTCCATATCCCTTACAGGGCATTTGGGGACAAACTTTTTTAACACATTTAAAATGGTGAAGGCAAGTCTGAGTCTGTGCAAATTTGGTGCATTAAGGGTTTACTATTTCCTCTCAGGTACAGAATACAAATAGCCTTGGCTCAGTTATCTTGGGCTTGCATCCAGAGGAATATTGCTGAAAAGTGGTCAGTACACAAGACATTTACTGCAACTGCCTCCCTCCAAGTGTGCCACTAAAATCTTCTGCGATAAGGGAGACCCTGCTGAATGGGGTTAATCTTTAAGGAGGAGATGAGAAAAAAGGATGAAAATAGGGTAGAGGTCTCTTTCACATGCAGGAACCCTGCTTGTGGAAGATGCATCTACCCACATTTCACCCTTCTCCCACTTCAGCCCACATCATTCAACAGAATTCTGTCAACAGCAGTGCGATTTGGGGAGGATGTAGGATTGGTGGGTTTTGGAAGGTGCTTTCTATCCTACTCCTTCTGTTGGCATTTGTCTGGATTCAATCTTGTTTGGAGAGACTAGGATGGGATATAATACTGACTCTCTGTTGTCTATGGTTAACAAACTGGGAGTTAGCTCAAAAATTCATGTTTTCTCATTGCAACTCTTCATTTCACTAGAACAATGTGCCCTCCCACCTGTGGCTGACTAGGTGTTTTTTTAACTATCCAGAGCTAGAAATGGGCATCACATTATTGAATGAGGAAGATTCTGGTTCAACGAGGAGGATTCTGCGTCAACGTGGTAAACAATTTAATCTTCTTTAAAAGGAGAGCTATATGGGCAACCATTGCTAATTGTTGCTTTAGATTTGATAAATACAATTAGTATTGAAATTAAGATTATAATTGTACTGGCCCAGCAGTAATTACCAACCACTTTGCAAGTCAGCAGATTTTGAGGGAGAATGGCAATACATTTGATCGAAAAATATCTGCTGAATTACGTTCTCTTTTGCTAAATTCAAAACTGCTTGTGATTTTTTTGTTTTGATAAAAGGAAAATGCACAAATAAAATTCCTCTTATCAAATTCCACATATGCCATTGAAGGTAGAATCCATAAGGCACTTGGGTTGCTTGTGTCACATCCAAACATGGCTTGCTGTATTCACTACACTTCATAAAAGTGTGGAGCGTTTACAATTTTAAAAGGAGTGAGAAAACAGATACTAATTTAGGATACCTGGTGGAAGCAGTGTAAAGGTAGGGAGTTGGCCATTAGATCTAAGCACAAATGCTGTACTTAAGATTACTAGGTCTGCTAAACAGAGAGAAAAAGTAAGCAAACTCTCTCTCCTTATAGCAATCTTATTAAGCAATTGGAGCATGGCTGTAACTGGTGCATTCAGATTTCCTGTGAACTATGTAAAAATCTTTTAAATTACTTGAAGTCTGATTTAGAAGTCCATGTAGGAAAATTCAATGCAGGGTTGGGCAAAGAGGAAAAAGAGCTTGGACATGTTACTTTTTTGGGGGGGATTCTGGCAGTTGTACTCCAAAAAAGCAACTTTTCCAAGTTCTAGAGATGCTATCAATATTCAGGGAACCCACTATATCTGGGAGAGATACACTGGCCTTTTTCACGGGCTGCAAGTTCATGGAGACAGACAGGTATGGCCCCATCACAATTATGGTTTAGTCAAGAGCATTATCCTTCTGCCACAGAAAATAGCAGACTTTCACTCCTCTGGAAGGAAATGAAGCCCTACAGCACAGCTCAATGTTCCAGTGATATAGAACAGTTCTGTCCTCATCTACTTATTACCCCAAAATGCCCTTGCCCACTGTGTAAATAATTCTGGCATATAGTGAAAAGTTACCATTCACTTCTGCAATAAAATGCAAACAGCAGTGCATGAGAAGACAGGCAGTTTTTACCACAGCAAAAGGATCATGAGAGCAACAAAGAAGATGAAGGAGTAGTTTATATTTGTCATAGAGGGACTGTGACCATTTATTTACATGATCCTGTATGGTATATGTCATATGATGTCCTCTTTGTTTACATTGGATTTACCCGCTAAGCTGAAAGTGAACAATCATAATGGTACAATTCTATGCACATTTTCTCAGAATCAAGTCCATCTCAGTTGAAAAGAGTTTACTCTCAAGTATGTGTGCACAGGATTGTAAGTGAAATGAGATTTTAGTACAGCTTCACGTGGGTGGGGGAGACAAAGAGTTGCAGTTCTTCAATATAGACAAAGAGTTGCAGTGCTTCAATATAGTGTAGTGGTTTGAATGTTGGACTATGACTCTGGAGACCAGGGTTCAAATCCCTGCTCGGCCATGGTCACCCACTGGGTGACCTTGGGCAAGTCACATTCCCTCAGCTTCAAAGGAAGACAAAGGCAAAACTCCTCTGAACAAACCTTGCCAATAAAACCCAGCGAGAGCTTCACTTTAGGGCAACCATAAGTTGGAAATGATTTGAAGGCATACAACAAGAACAACAGTTGTTGAGATCCAGCATCAGAAAAATTCTAAACAACTGGTAAAAAACATTTTTTATACTTTTAGATGTTTATTTCTTGCTTTTAAGATCCATATGGATTCTTTTAGAAGAAATAAATAAGGCAATATTCAACAAAACTAGTAATACATATTTCCTTTGGAAGCATTTATTTTATATTTCGGAAGCAAATGGACAGCTTACCTTGGCTTTGGGAAGATTTTGTCTGATTGGAAAGCTCTTCATTTTCTGCATAAAGAACATAATTAATTAGCAGGAAGAAGAGAATTTTGATTGAAATACTGATGAGGACAGCTATTTAAAAAACTAATATCAGTTATACACTGTTTATGTTAAAGTAAGTGTAAATCCCATCATTAGAACCAATATAATGGCAAAACAAAAACACTGCCTTCATTCCTCTCAGGACAGACTATGTTTACCATGAGGGATAATCCTGACAGGGTCCTCAAGAACAGCGGCTTCCTTCTGATACAGAAATAGTTGACTCCAATTACTGCTAGGCTCATTGCTTATAAGAGTCAAACCTCATAGCTCAAGCTTTCCCATTGTCAATCCGCTGAGGAAGTCTCTTACCCTCTTTCTCTCACTTCCCCATTGTGGCCCCTCTTCTCATTTTTCTGCCTCTGCAGTTGTACACCACTTGGTGAGGAAAGCATCATGCAATGTGGACTCACTTCCCACCTCTTAGGAACTAGAACAGCTGGAGATGGAGATGTGAAATTTTCTTGTCTCACTTTCATTGTGCTCCCTCCAGTACCATTCAAGCTTTCTTTCAATCCTTGTTTTATACCAGATTACAAGATTTAGGCTGGGGATCCTTGCAGTGGCTTGCCTAAGCCTACAGCAGGCCACCTGTCCTAGCCATCTGCACAGCTTCTCTCATCTCTCAATTATGCTGGAGTGTAACCAAGACAGATTCAGTGTTCTGAGGATACCTGCTTTACCTGTTCCTACATGACTAGAGGTATATGGTGGTGGAGCTGGCAAGCCAGGGGCAATGACATTAGCCAGCGGAACAAGACCTGCATTGTTGTAAGCACCTGGGAGAGGAAACAGAAGATAAAAAGAGAAAGATTATGTAGTGACAACATTACATATGTAAACCTAAGACAACATCAATTCTTTGAAACCTGAAAGGCCATCTTCTTGTATATATCGCATGCTCAGTTCAATATGAAGCTCCAGATATGACTGCCATATGAGACATGGTGGATAGCTACTAGAAGTAAAGTCTCCCCAGTTGTGGCACACACAAAGCATGAAATGCCTTCCAATGGATGCTCTGTTAGGCCCTGATACTATATTATTTTACAAAGCTGTGAGGGACATGACTGTTCTAGAAGTCTTTTAGCTGAGGGCTCTATTAGTCTTATATTATCTATTTACTTATTATAATTGTATAAAGCTGTCCAATACTATTGTTCTTTAGGAGGCATATATAGAATAAAACCATTATGATAAAGTAAATATGCAGCATAATGTACCTTTTTCCCAATGGAAAGAGGAATAAAATCAGACAAATAAGAAATGCATAGCTCAAATGAAAAACACTGTATCATGCACTCATTAAAAAAATAGTTTTTAAAAAAGCTGATGGACTAAAAATGCCCACCTGTGCCAAAAATGCCACAAAAACAGGTCCCTCTAGAGAGTGTAAGGGCATATACAGACTGCCAGAAATACTCCAGCTTGAGACCACTTTAAGTGTCCTGGCTCAGTGTTAAGGAATCATGGGAACTATAGTTTACTGTGGCACCAGAGCCCTGGTGGCGCAGTGGTTAAATGTCTGTTCTGCAGCCACTCACTCATAGACCACAAGGTTGTGAGTTCAATACTAGCCAGGGCTCAGGCTAGACTCAGGCCTGCAACCTTCCGAGGTCGCTAAAATGAGTACCCAACTGTTGGGGGGCAATGAGATTACAACTGTAAACCGCTTAGACATCCCATAGCGTGATATGAAGTGGTATATAAATGAAGCTGCTTTGCTTTGCTTTGCTCTCTGACAGAAAATGTTCAATGTCTCAGAAAAAAACTACAATTTCCATGATTCCCTAGCACTCAGCCAGGACAGTTAAAGTGCTCTCAAGATGGATTATTTCTGGCAGTCTGTACAGGCCCTAAGACACTAACAATGAAAAAGCCTTCTCACTTGGTGGCGGCACCATGAGCAGAACCTTTAGATCCAGAAAAGGATCTAAAGGTTCAGGTATGTAAACATGGGAGGAGGCAATTTCCCCAGCATTCCTTTTCTAAACCACTGAGAGCTATACGTAAGTAGCCCAGTTCATAGTCCGTTGGCCTCATTTGGGACTAACTGGAGGTTTCAGACTACAGTCTTCCCTCCCCATTTGTGGAATTGATGTCTGCAGTCTTGGTCCTTCGCAGACTGGCAAGTGGGAAGAGATAAAATGACACGTGTGCCCATGGTGCTTGCGCAGGGCCATGCACAGGAGCACTCCCCATTAATAACAATGGGGACTTGAATATTAGCGATATTTCCAATTTGCGGATCCCCGCAAATCGGAAGGGATGATTGTATTTTCAAAGCAACCAATGAGCAACACATTACAGTAGATCATGGGTAATAGTGGACAGGCTATTAAAACTGTTTTCTTGAACTATTCAGCAAAAATGTTCCACACATTAGGAGCTATCAATAGGCAACTGTACAGTTCTTATATTTGTTGCAAAGGGAATTTCTATTGTCTCACCCAGAATCTCTGGTCTCCTCAACCAACTGTTCCTTGACATTTCAGAAATTTTACTTGTGCTCTATAGCTACGGATAAGTCTTCAAATCTACATTTCGTTTTTTAAAGTTCCCATTTTTGTATTATAAATCCTTTAGTAATTTTCACTTTAAAAAAGTCAGATAAACTTAAAAATTTTCATCAAACATTGCATACCTACCATCAAACATGAGGAAACAGTTTACTAGTCTGTTATACCTTATAACATCAATCACTTTCAATTCCTATTTACTTTCATATATCCTCCTCCTAATTCCTATTTTCTTCTTCCTTTCCTCATCTTCATCCTTTCTTCCGACTTCCTCTCCCTCTTCATCCTCCCACTCTCCAATCCCCTCTTACCCTTCTCACTTTCCCCTCTAACCTCATAATCCATTCCCCTCCTCTATTTCCACACTCACAAACTCTCTTTCACATACTCTTAGTATGTATGAGAGGAGGAATGGGGGGAGATGAGGGTAAAGTATGTAGCGGAGGGTAGGAGTAAAGTTCCCATTTTTTAAATGACAACATTTTTGCATGGCTCATTAACTCAAGTAAATGATTTGAAATGATCTTCCTTTTGATTCAAGTAAATGAATAAAAACTCAGGGGGAATCAGGCAGTAAGAGATTATAGTATGAATAAACATACAAAGAAATTGGGGCCACTATCTGTCTACCAAGGATGCAGACATTTTTTCCAGAGTAGAAGAGTAGTCAAGGAAGAAGTTATCACAGAAAACAATCAGGATCAAAGCTTACTAGGTGCAATTGTTGCATGTGGTCGGCAAGGAGGGATAGGATAAGGAACAGGTTTATGTGGATTGTATGTTGCTGGAGCCTAAACAAGAAGGACAATAGTTAAAATGGAATATTTACACATTCAGCAGCTGTGAAGATAATAGTAATCAAGGAATAAGAAACCAAAACATGCTAGGCATTCACAGGATGCCAACCTTTCAATTGCTTTGGGTCCTAATTTTGAGGGGAAAGCAGGATATAAATAAATATAATAACAACAACTTCAGCTCATTTCTTATACAGGTTGAGTATCTCTTATCCAGAATTCCAAAATCTGAAGGACTCCAAAATTTTCCACATGAGACAATGACATCTTTGCTTTTTGATGGTTCAGTGTACACAAACTTTGTTTCATGAACAAAATTATTAAAAACATTATATATAAAATTACTTTTAGGGTATGTGTATAAGGTGTACACAAAACATAAATGAAATTCATGTTTAGACTTGGGTCCCATCTCCAAGAT